GACCATTTTACTTCTTGTGTTCTTCTTGATGTTTACTATTACCATTGCACATGATTGAAATTCATACAAATTCCAGAGACTCACTAGATGTGTAGACAGAGAGTTGGCCATTGGGACCCCCACAATAATAAGGACCTGCTTTGTTTCTGACTGGACATATCACATTACAGTCGCTTGAGTTTGGTGATGCCGAACCGGTTACAACGTCACCACAGTAGCAAATGTTCAAAGAAAGCCCTGAAAAAGATTGCACCTATACAATAGACAACGACAGCCCTGAAAAAAATATGCAAGTATGCAGTAGGTACGGTGGTTATATATAAACTAGCACTTCAACTCTCCCTTAGATTTTTGGTTGTGTAGAGTTCATTTGTACAACGGTTATGATTACTAGTATATTACAATTTTCATTTAAAAACTATTCTACTTAGTTAACATGAAGTTAGTATCTAAAGAATTCTAAATATCATACCAGCAAATCTAGCATTTTCCGTTGTACATTTCAATCGACAATTTGAAACCAGGGTAAACTGTGAAATAACTGTGAAGTTCTCCTGCGGATAACAACCCACGTATATATCAGCGGCTACAAGAATTCAAAAGGATTGTGTTTACTGCCAAGAAACAGACAAGACCAAAATAAAAATTGGACACATAAAATAATTTTAAAAGATATACTCAATAAAAATATCAGTGCATATAAATCTCCAATGTGGTCTAACCCATGCCATGTTAAACAATATAAATATTAGCACAGATTTTTTTTACTCACATCCAAGATCGTTTACAAAGAATGAGAATTCAACATATGGCAAAATGCTTGAAAAAGATTTCCAAAATCAAAGACCTAAGTCTCTATTCAAAACTAAGAAGCTTTTCTCGGCTTATTTCGTTCATTAATATTTTCGCATGTTCTAAACTTGTTCTAAACTAAACAGTGGTCAATGGCCAACAAACCATTTGCATTAAAAAAGATTTCTGCTATATATTACCATGCCAAACTATCTCCCCTTGAAAGAGGGTATGGCACTTCCTGTGAACAAACTTTAATTCACTTCACCAGTGGCCCAGTGACTCTGAAGAAGTAGTCGAAAACGTGAAACATTTACAGACAATAAACGACAGACAGAGGCGGGCGCCCGACAGAGAAGCCTATTTAAGCCCTCAGTCCAGGTGAGCTAAAAAAAATCAGGTTTCCCACTATTTTGATCTACGTACATTGGTATTTTTTAAGAAAATGTTTTGAAGTTTTTAATCCAAATATTGTTTTTCCCCACTTTTACTTACAATTGCATGACAGTGCTCCTTTATAATCTGTCCCTTTCAATGTCCAGTTGCCATCCTCCATACAGATATATTCCCCCCAGTGTAACCCCCTCTTCCTGCAACCCTCTTCACACACAAACTCTATCGTTGCTCCATATGTGGTCTCCGAGTTTGAGTTATAGTCTGTCTGTATCTTATCTTCGACTAAAGGAGGCCCACAGTCTACGGCTGTATGACATTGTGTATTGAATTACTACATAACTGAAGAAACCACATACTAGTATTCAAAAGAACAAATTTCACAATAGAAAAATGACATTTGACCACGATATGACGTATAAAGTTTATATGTAGCATTTCAAGCTTAAATCATATATTGACTAAAACAACAATATATTTTTAAAATGAAAGATACGTTTTACAAAAATATCTTACGAATAAGACCAAAAAAAAGAGTCAAATCCAAGCTAAAGACTGAGACAAAAAATATTGTTTCTGTTGTATTAGAAAAATATTCCAGAGAAAAATATTATATTTATAAAAGAAAAAATACAGAGATGTCTTATTTTGTCTTGATCGTAATTTTTTGTGAAGAGGACTACTGTATAGGGGGAAAATAACTCGCGGTGTTAATATTCGCTATATTCACGGTGTTTATAAATCCGTGAATTCAAGAAACAGTGAATAAGTTTTCAATAACCTCCATGTTATATTTGGAAATTTGAGATTAGACTACGATAGGTATATATACATGTATTACATGGTCATTTCAGTAATTACGAGTCGCACTTGTCATTCAATTATTTTAATTATCACGCGTTACTCTAATTTAGATCAGCAGATAATAAACCCGTATTTGTTAAAAAGCTGTTTTAATAGCCCACGATGCATCAATCAAAACACGTGGGTCATGGGTTTTGATTACCCGTGCATAACTATGTGACCACGTGTATTTGTTACCTGCATTATCATGCGTATTAGTTTTTATCGACATTTGTTTTTAAAAAATCATTCAAATAACTATTGAACTTGCTGAAGATGTGGAAGGATATTATTTCTTCGACCTACATTAACACACTTCTTACCGTCCAGTGGTTTTTCGCCGCGATGTATTATCCCTTCGGAAAGAAGATCTTGGGGTGTACATGCACTCATCGTAATAGTATATAAGAAAGTCATTCGACGTTTATAGTCAAGGACTTTTATTAACTGCACTTGTTTTAATTAGTCGTCAATTAATTATTAAATCTAAGTATTTTTTATAAACCTACCCTGTTGTTTTTAAAGTGAATAATGTCGTTCTGGATAAAACGGATATAGACAAGGGAGGTAACTTTTATTATATACCGGTTCCGCGAATTCAACAAACCGCGATCGTGTCAGGGGAGAGAAAACCGTGAAAATTACAACCCGTGAAATTATTCCCCTATACAGTACATAATTTTATAAGACATTTCGTTGTGTTTGACTGGATATAAAGTTACAAGATAAAACAAGCATTATATGTTGAACGTATGTTCGTGACATGAAAATTCAGCAGTTAACTTACTACGTTTATGTTTCAATGATATGTTTTGCCATCCTTTTCAAAATGTTCGTTTTAAACAAATGTTTTAAACAAATGTTGATATATTTATCAACATAGGCGCTAAAATCAATACACAGCTTAAATGTCATACGTTTACAGTATTTGATCATCGATAATTTTAACATTTTTGTTGCACTCCTGATCAAGAGCATGCAAGTCTTTAAAGAAGAATTGGGAGGCAGAAATTATATAGAATGTCTTTTGTTGTTTTAGTGAAGTTGTGGTGGAATAACTTGAATTTTATAACAATTTTTCGATGTATATTTTTAAACATTTCATAACAAAATTAAAAGAAAAGGTAAAACACATCTGGATTGATAAAACTAAATTTAGACAGATTTCAGTAAATACATGAAAACTGTCAATAATTTAGTACTGAATTATTCAAATATACTATTATTAATCAAATAATACGTATTATTTTGAATAGAAGTCATTTCATCATTGAATTTGGATCTTTAAAGAAATTGTTGCACTCCTGACCGTAGAAATATTTATAGACAGATCCTGTAGTTGATAGATTTATTTGGTAAAATTAACTTTGTGTATTTATTTTCCAAAATAGAAAGCAAAGAATCTTATACTGACAATAGTCTTTTTCGTGTTGGGGTGCAAAAAATCAAATGTTTTACTCGTGACATAAATGGCTATGCACAGATACTTGACTCTCATTAATGCTGCTTGTAATTTTTAACTTTTATAATGGTACATCAGTTATCGTTTTACGCTATAGAAATTCTATTTTGACTAACTTGTCAAGAGATTTTTAAAATCAGTGTTTTTGGCAACTCTGTTGTACTCCTCACGTGGTATACCACTTTTTCCAACATCAGCCATAACAATAGCTTGGTCAAACTAAAGTAACTACAGTCTTAATGTTAAGCTCAATACATTGAGTTTTGCAAGGAAAGTCTTTATTTCCAACATAAATCATTTTTTAAAAAATATCGAATTTTCAAAATGTAACAAAAATGTGCTGAACGCCTGACATTTTTAGCATCATTTTGGGGCATTTTTGTGACTTAAGATATCAATGAGACATTTTGCATGTATTTAGACAATATCAAAAGACATATGCTGAGTTATAGAAATTTCTTCTCATCGTCTGTATTTTTACAGCAGGTTGATAAACATGCTTCCAGTCATTTTTAAAAATTCATCCAAATAACTTGTCCTTTCCAGTTTTGTTGCATTACTACTTAAAGTTGGGTAGTTGAAGCAAATGAATTAATTACTTACGTTTCCTATTCTCTGACACTTACGTTGGCATATGAGTTCCGTTCCATTCCAGACACCGTCTTGTGTACAGTGAAGATGAGCGTTTCCATCTGACTGGTAGTAACCAACGTTACAAGCATAAACAACACTGTCATTGGACAGAAAAACCACGTGGGAATTGTTTGTTACTGTCACGTTACATGGCACTGAAAAATTGTTAAACTGTTATGTAGCTGCAGAACTGTAGCTCCCCGAAAAAAAAAATGTACCCAAGTCTATGACTAATTTACTAACATGTGCAGGACAAACTTACCGATATGTATTAACAAGTATTTTTGATTACCTAAAAATCAGTCACAAAATTTTCAACAATTTAGAATAAATAAATAATAATGGAAAATAAATAAATAAACAAGCAATATCATTTTTGTGAGAAAATTTTCCACCTAAAGATTTCCCGGAAAGTAGTCCATGCAATACAACTCTACACTTGTTAATTTTTCTGGGCTACAGGTGTCACTTAGGATACTACTGTTTCACTGTTTAAGATCAGTGTATTGTGAATGATCTTGCATTTATATTTGATAGCTGTCACTGAAACTAAGCTGCGAATGATTTTGTATTCATACACATGATAATCTCAGGTGGTATTATCCCAAGTTGATAATTTCGAATGCATTATAAATTTCTACACGTCAAAGGTTTGCCATTCATGAATTAGGATCTTTTTGGACAGAACAAAACTTTTTGTTTCAATTCGTGTGTTTTGAATTTTACTTCACATTCAAAACTATTTATCAAAACGTTCATAGAATATCTTCCAAAAAAGAGATGAAGACCAAAGTTCTTGGATATGTCGATTACATTGTGTTTGGACTCTCTCTGGTAATATCGTTGGTAATCGGGGTCTATCACTCTCGCTCTGGTGGGAAACAGCGCTCGGTACAAGAGTACCTGATGGGGAATCGCCGATTCACTTGTCTTCCGGTGGCACTGTCGCTGCTTGTAACATTTCAGTCAGGCATCAGTTTATTAGGACTTCCGGTGGAGATTTACTACTATGGAACCCAGATCTACATGGGGATCGTGGGTCTGGTTGTCGGCTATACCATCGTCGCCATTTTCATTGTCCCTGTTCTTTATCCTCTTCAAATCACTAGTGTGTATGAGGTAGGAAATTACATTTTGTCTTTACTAAATATAAAATACGTTGCTCTTTTCTTCTTTTTAAGACTATTTGCTTGTCTTACTTCTATTTGAATGCAGTTTTCTAAGGTGTTTGTCCTTGCAGTATCTGGAAATGAGGTTTCAGTCTAGAGCAGTAAGACTGGTAGGCTGTCTTCTCGGACTTCTGTTTACGGTACGTTTTATTTAAGTTTTCAGAAAAAAAGTTCTATGCAAGGTACATAATACAAGAAAAGTAATGGATACAAATAGATTTATAGAGTTTTATTTTTATTAATAAGCAGCTATTAAACATCATGATATAGAGATACATACATACATACATATAATATATATATATATATATATATATATATATATATATATATATATATATATATATATATATATATATATATATATATATATATATATATATATATATATATATATATATATATATAAGATATATATGTATAACATTGTATTATACATATATTATAAAAAATTTCAATACGTTAACAAATGACAATTTATGATTTTGTAAATAGATGACATACATGGCTGTTTGCCTCTTCCTTCCGGGCTTGGCAATGGAGTCAGGTAATGTGGATTATTTAATACGAAATGAAATGTTCCATAACTCAAAATTATAAGCAAAATAAAACTTAATTTCATCTATAAATATATATATATATATATATATATATATATATATATATATATATATATATATATATATATATATATATATACATTGTATAAAGCAAATGTTACTTAACATTTTGTAAACTTAATTTAACATTTTTGAATCCTTTAAACTTGAAGATAATTTTGACTGAATTATAAAGAGTCCTTTGAAAGAATTTAAAAGAGGTACATCCTAAAACGTACTTTGTGTCATACTTTTCCATTAAGCAACAAGGAATGGTAAGGGCTCGGTTCGACATTGAAGGTTTAAATTTTACATCCTCTGATAATACAATGAAAGAATCGATGATAGTGTACACAAAAGTGGAGAAAGCTGAATAACTGAGTAGGTTCAGTTTATACAAATTTCCATCGTAATAACGCTCAAGCATGCCCATTTTGCTTTAGTACAATTAAAAAAAAAGTTTTTGAAAGGTATGATTAAAGTTTTCTTTCTTTTTGAAGGCATATGCAAAATTCGGGGAAAAATATCTTCTACATATGTTATTCATAAAATTAACAATAGTTTGATCAAAAAAAAAAAAAAAAAAAGCTTAATAAAAAATATTCATTTTGAATGTCCTTTTTTCTTTTGTTTATTTTTTATGTTGTACAGAGGGGAAAAATCGGCAAGTAACAAATATCTTTCATGTATCGTATCTCTATCTTCATTTCAGTGACTGGATTCCCCAAATGGGCTTCCGTATCAGTTGTTGCTGTCGTTGTTATAATTTACACTATGTTGGTAAGTCAACAGCCACCCCCACCCCACCCTCTACAATGAATATTTTTGAATAAAAGAGCAGATACTGTCAAACATATTACATAGAGTATCTACATATATCTACCATTCTACAGAAACAAACAAACAAACAAGCAAACAAAAATGACGTCATACCCAAAATCTTTTGTAGGGAGGAATAAAAGCCGTTGTGTGGACGGATGTGTTTCAGTTTGTCGTTATGTTGGCCGGTATTTCGGTACTCCTAATAAAGGTACTAATTATGATAAACTGGTTGGCAAAGTACCAATAAATCTTACTAATACGTGTTAGTTTTAAATTGCAGTGTTTACTGTTTTTTTTTAGATCTATTATCAGAGAAGTGTAGAGGAACTATGGGAAACAGCCAAAAACGAAGATAGGCTTCAATTTTTCAAGTACTTTTTAAGAAAAAAAAGAATATGTGTATGAATTTCATACAAAGATGTTATTTTTTATATAATATTCTCATTCTTCACATTCTCGCTCTCGCTTCTTCAACCAAAATGTTACTTATCAAGTGGTCCAGTTTACTTTAGTACACAGACAATATACCACAGCACCTAACTTATTAAAAAAAATTTACATTATTTTGAAAGTTTTGATGCTGATCCGACGGATAGGCAGACATTTTGGGCAGTTACCATAGGAACAATTACCTCATGGATAGGAAACGCTTTGAGCCAGTCCGGAATTCAAAGGATTTGCGCAACCGAATCTATAGGAGAAGCAAGAAAGTAAGTCTGTATATCGGAAGCTCCGGAAGTTCCTATCAGCCTTATAATGGCGTGGTCAATGTGGTCCGAGTTGAAACCCTTTAATGCCCTTTCTCTTCGACAATGAATATCAAACTATTGTTTACTCTATTAATTACAATAAATAGCATTATATTTATTTACTAACGATGAAAAATATTTTTCTTTAGGCTCATATAATCATCCATTAGCCAATTAAATTTTCACGGTTATTGATCAATAAACCTTTGTAAGGGAGTATTTCCTAGTGGTTTCATAATAAATTTGTTTTATTATACAGAGCATGGACCTTCATAATCCATCTTTTCATATACAAATTGGTTCTACATTCCAATTAACTTTTATTTCAGTATAAAATAGAGAGTGTAAAAGTTTGCGGTCAACCGTTTCAAAGTGCTTAGTTTTGATTTGAAAATGATTATCTTCACTGTCCTAAAATGTTTGCATTTAAAGGTACCCTCACAGTTACAACGGCTATCTAGCCACAACGGAATCTGTATACATACGAAAAGGACATTGCAACTGTGCAAGGAAATTTCATGAACAATGCATACTTCAACCCTTGCATTTGAACGTTTACATAGAATATTGCAGAGAGAAATCTTAATACAATCTCCACACCCGATATTTCTTCTGAGTATATGTACCTTTAGGCGACAGGTGTTCCAAACATCTCTAGATGTTGATACAAATTGCTTCATTTTCACATGCATTACTTTTAATTAATGACTCTTTCAGATCGGTACTTTTTAACTTACCAGCGGCTGTTTTATATGAGACTCTGATTACTTTTTTGGGTGTGACTATGTTTGCTTACTTCTCGATTGCCAAATGCGATTTACAAGGCGCCGGATTGGTCCATAGTTCGAATGAGGTTGGTATAACCGCCTGAGTTGTAGTGTTTTAGTACTATCTCTTCACCTTGGCGATTATTAGGTTATGTCAATTATGTCTTTAAGCTCAGAGTTAACTCGTCATTGTAATTGCTAAAAATTCGTTGTTTTATAGAAGATCGTCAGTTGAAAACTGGACCTTGCACTGCCGACTCCAGATCGTGTAGAAAAAGCTAAATTTTGGATCGTTAATAGATTATTAAACGAAATACCGACTTATGTATTTCTACCGGTTATATTAGAGTCACTCACTTTCGATTTGCAAAACTGATTTATAAATGTTTGAGTTAGTTACATTTCTTTTGTTTATTATTTAATACATTTGGCTTTAAATGTTCTTGAAAACTTTAAAGACAACTATATATTCAATTTTTCTATTGAAGCAATCATCCTAAACTAGCGTATCCATCATTGATTTAAACATTATATGGTTTGCTTGGTTGTAAGTAGCTTCCTGTTAATTACTGAAACAGTCAGAAACAATTTAAAATATCTATACGTATTTCAAGCCATATACAACAGGGTGATCATTTTCACACTGACATTAAAAGAGTATGAACCTTTAAACCTTAGTGTTAATTAACTTTTCTCTCTCTCTCCCTCATATTTATGAAAATATAATCTTTCACCTTTTGTTGCAAATTGTAAATACAAATGATTATCTCCCTTCCGACAAAGAAGATATTTTGTTTACTTTAATTACTTTCATGTTCTTCTCATACAACTGTGTTTGTGCCATAATGTGTAACCAAGATATCTATAATTTTGAAATGTGAGTGTATCATCATGAAATATGAAGAAAACGAACGGTAATCAAGCTCAAAAGTCCATTCAAACAATACAAATTTGGAGCAGAGCAAACAAGGACCTCTGAAACATAAATGTTGGGATCAGGTGCCATGGAGGAGTAAGCATCTTCTGTCGACCGGTCACACCCGCCGTGTGCTCCTTGTCATGATCGGTTAAACGGAAAAATCTGTAGACAATTCAGTATAATGACCTCACATTTAGCACAATTGTATGAAACGTTAGTCAAACTGATTCGACTTAATGATAGATTGTATTTGCTAAAAAGGTCATCGTATCAACCATAGAATTTGCGAAATGTTGACTTTAAACGAAACTGTTGATATTCTTGATTTATCTTATTTGTCAGTAAATTGCCTAGTTTTGGAAATTGTTCGTAAGTAGAGCATGCTGTTGCGTATCGAATCAACTTGGAGACATAAACTCCATATGCAGGTTATAATGGTATATTGCTACATAAATAAGAGAAGTTGACGATAGAAATGTTGAAGTCACCTAGTTTATCATAAAGTTTTGTTGTTAGGTTACTATTAACAATATGTCTTGAGCACTATGACCCAGATATGAGCTTTATATTTGACCCCAGCCTAAAAAAACAACAAAGAAAAAACAAAAAAAACCCAAACAAAAACAAAAACAAAAAACCCAAACCCCCCCAAAAAAAAAACAAAAAAAAAAAAAACAAAAAAAAAACACCCCCCCCCCACTTTGGCACGTTTGTAATAAAGAGACCTTTCCACTCATTTGAAAAGTTAATGATAATTTTTTGATAAATTGTTTTCGTTTGTTCATGAAGTTGATAGTATTTTACTACCAATACTGTTGATTTTCTCTCAGATTGTGCCGTATTTCATGATGGAGCAGCTGTCCGATATTCCCGGATTGGCGGGACTATTTCTTGCGAGTTTGTTCAGTGCTACATTAAGGTAAGTCGATAATATTAATTTTAAATCATAACTACAACAACCGACAACATAAGGGTACTGTTTAACTATTGAAAGTTCATCTCCGCCCCTTTGATTACATGATATTTTTTAATGTCATCAAATGACCATATTACGGTTTAATGTCTAAAGTTACTGACTAAAGTAACTAGTACAACATTTATTGAGAAAAAGGGCTGCAAAGTCTTCACATAGTTAACTGAGATTTATTTGTTACATTTAGAAAAGATGTTCTGTTAAAAATACAGTTAAATACAATACGGAGATAACAAACAGTATTCAAGCTCAAAAGTCCATTCAAACAATATAAATCAGGAGCAGAGCAAACACGGACCTCTAAAACAACAGAGGTGGGATCAGCTGCCATAGAGGAGTGAGCATCCCCTGCCGACCGGTCACACTCACCGTGTGCTCCTTGTCAAACTAAATCAATTTTACCTTACTTTGCGAAAGAACAAGGTACGGTTTCAATACAAATCTTGCCCCGTGTTTTTCTTAAAAATAAAAGTGATGTAAAAAAAATTAAAACTCATGCTTTTTGAATTATTGAAATTCCATGCAGAAAGATCATACAAATCTTTTTTCTCACATGACCTTCCAAATGCTAATTGTGACGTCATAAACTTGTGCATTTTCCCGTATTTTCATAAAAAGTTGCAGAAGACATCAATTTTCAATGGAATTTTCTTTCAGATAATATTGTCCACAGGCATCGCCCACAAAGATTTTGAGATATGTGATTTTTCAAAGAATTTTACAAAACATATCTAAAAATTAACGTGGGCGACGCCTGTGGACACTATTTTCTTAAGGGAAATAACCCTTGAAATGGGTCATTTTGAGGCTTTTTCTGTTTAAAATAGAGAAATGCATCAAATTAATGACGTCATATATCCAGAATGGTACTCCGTCATGCTATATTCATTCCTGATTTATTACAGTCATATACTCTACTAATATTTAAGCCAGTTTCAAAATTTCTTGAAAACATTAAATTTTTAGGGCACAATAAAGCTAAAACCATACCTTCTTCTTTGTAAAGAATTTAAAATTAAATTGTCAAAAGAAGTAAAACTTTGGCTTGCGTGTAGATGCGTTTTCATGTATAAAGATACCCTCATCCAATATACAATCTAGATGATAAAAAGGAGTTCTTTTTCTCTAAGTCTTAAATATAACAAGATTTTTTGCTATGTACTCCTGTGAATTACTGAAATATCTCTCAATCTTTCGGTCTGAAAAGATTTCTTTCTCAAATTGATCTCTCTCTCTCTCTCTCTCTTTATTAAAATAGAAATAGTTACCTCATTATGATTAAGAAATGTCCTTTGCTGAAAACATATCTTTCTAATAAAAAGAATTATTTCGGTTATCATGAAAGAAATCTTGTTTTACAAAATAAAGAACTCCGTGGTATGAAAGATCTTTTAAACATCTAAGAGCTTCTCCACAAAGAACATACTTCTCATTACATCAAGAAGAGAGAGTGAGTTACTTTAGCAACTGAATTATGAAAAAGCTACCGGGGATTATTTTCATTTTAATCTGCCTTTGGAATTTCCAATAATTTTTTTTCTCAAAAATAAAGTCAGACCTTAAGGGTGGGTCGGCCTTCATTTACGAACGAAAAAAAATTCTGGTCATATAAGACAATTCATTTCAATCATGAATTGTCTCACTCATTTGCCTGTTACCAGTCTTGACAGACACTCGTTATCAAGGACTAAATTTATACTTATTTATTAAACACAATGGTCTATTGTTTAAGGAAATTCGCGATGCTACGGAAAGTGTAAGCACTTTTTTGTTTCACAGTTTTTATTGCATCTGTCTTCTTTACCTTCCCGAATTTAAAAATATCTGTGTCATCACCTAGTTTTGAATGCTATAAAAACAGAGAAACATGAGAGAGATCACCAAGTACTTATTTATTCTAGAGTGATACAATCAATTCTAGACAGTTCGATAACAATTAAGTTGTATGAGGTATAATTATTATACGTATTGTTCAATTGCTGCAGGTTTCCCAGAATATATCGTCGGCAAGATTTACATTTCAATGTGCTGTTGCTAGTCTGCTAATTCGGTTTTTATTTTGATAGTGGTAGCGTGAAGTGTTTGGTAAATTGAGGGCATCAGACGGACATGTACTTTTCATAACGGTATAAAAAATAATATCCAATTGGGATTTCAAGCTGACATATCCTCTTCCTTGCATGCTAGTAAAAAAATCTTTTTTTTAGAAGCAAAAATATCTTTTTTCGAAACAAAAATATCTTCAAAAGGAAAAATTTATCTCTTTTACTTATGAAATGTCTCTTTCTAAAATTCACAGACATCTCTTATACAGTGGAAGAACCCCCCCCCCCCCCAAAAAAAATACCCTCCCCCAAGAAACAAAACAAAACCAAACAAAAAAGAAAAAAAAAACAGAGGTAATCACCTCAATGAATGTTATGTGTATATACATATAAGTAAGGCGAAGTTTCGTACCAGTAAATGTTCAATGCGATCCATTAATCGAAAGTAAGTTCATTACAGTGACTTCTACCAGTCAGTACGAGAATCTTCATGCATTATCCATTCAAGTGCGATCAAGGAAATATATAATTTCTTGGGAATTGACCTGCTCCAAACATTTTATTATAGGCACTTGTCAAGAAAATATACATGTTTTTGTTTGTTTGTGTTTTGTTTAACGTCCCTCTCGAGAACTTTTCACTCATATGGAGAGGCCACCACTTGCCGGTGGAGAGCTACAAATTTTGACCTATACTCGGCACTCAGGGCCATTGAGCAGTGAGGGATCTTTTTCGTGCCAGCACCTACTACGACACGGTACCTCGGTTTATACAGTCTCATCCGAAGGACCGGTCTCCACGTCCCACTATGGGATTCGAACCCGCGACGTAAGGATCAACTCCTTACTCCGCGACTATAGAGCGAAAGCTCTAACCACTACGCCACGTGGGCGACAAAATATACATATAGATTAGTTACAACTTCTTAAGCATGTCTAATGCAAGGTGTTGTATCCCTAAAGTTAATCAGGTTTGTCAAAGTAAGACTTATCTTCCTTAGGAATGGAAAAGCTTGAAAAAATTTAACCTGTTCACTCATCCGGCAAATACAAGTCAGATGAAGTTAATGAAATTCTGATATATGCATCACTCATGCTTGTTCAGTACAATTAGGGCTTATAGATACTGGAAAAAGGCCTTTTTAAAAATTTCCACCTGATCAGTTATCTTGCTAATGCAAGCATGTGAAGTATGTCTGGTATTGTATATCATCTGATTGACATTTTGGCGCTGGTAGGTCTTATAATTTCTTGAAAAAATTAACATTGAGGTTTTTGGGAACAAAAAAGCCAATTCAAGACCGGAGACAGAAACAGCAATGTAGAAATTAAACGGGTGATAGAAATATCAATTTAGAAATTAAAGGGGTGATAGAAATGTCAACGTAGAAGAAATTAAATGGATGATATGAAGTATATAAGTACATGATTTATATAAAGGATCCCAATGAAGAAAAACAAGAGTTACATAACATCCATTTATGTTTTTTTTTTTCCAGAGGGTTTCATTTCATTTTTGCTCTCAAAAGTGCTTCAGTAAAAATAATTAGACATGATGTGCAGACTAGGAGAATGGGGGTCCTGTCCTCTAAGGCATTGACTATGTTCTAGATTATTTGTCGATCTTTCATGTTTATCACACAGCTGCAATTATCAGCAATCTACTGAATTGAAACTTATACTGCCTTCAGTAATTTACTGCTACATTAAAAGGAGAAAACAAATATCTGAAACGTTTAAATTTGGTCTTTTACTCTGATTACATGGTATTCTGCAATTTACAAGTAATGAGTAAATGAAGATCCACAATTGACATATGACAATGCATCTGTTTAGCAATATTGCAAAATGAAAAAAAAAGACTGGCTGTAAAAAGATGGCTTTTTTAAAAAACTAAGATTCAAGCATTTTATTTTTCTTGTTCTTTATGAATTAAATACAAAACTCAGAATTAATTCAAGTGACAGAAAGTATCTTAAGAAGTTAAATACTGCAATATTTTTACAAGTATTTTTCTTTTATTACTATGGAATCATTTTCGGGGGGGAAGGGGGCAATGTTCGTTGATTTTGTGGGTCACCCTTACCCAGAAATTAACATCCCCACGTACTTTTATTTTGTAAACATATTGATTCATTGAATCTAATGTAGAAAACGAGTACCCCACGAAATAACCCCCCCCCCCCCGCAAACAAGTAAAATTTTGCTTGCCTACGAACATTGACCCCCAGGAATTAAACGATTCCACAGTACTTCCATTATCATATCGTTTGCCCCCAAGTAAAACCACTTGATTTAAAGGCAAAGGATTAAAAACGTTGTTCTTTTAAAAAAAAATATCAAATCCAACCAGCCAAACAAACAAACAAAAAAAAAAAAAAAAAAAAAAAAAAAAAAAACAAACAAACAATCAAAGCGGAAAGTGGAAAATCCCATCGTTCATTTTTCAAACATTTTGCTGATAAAGAAACTATAACATTATTGTAATAACATCTTAACCTTTGACCCAGATATTTACATTTTTTCTGTCAAGAAAAAGAAACTTTTTTTGGGAGGAAATAAGATAAAGTTATCTGGTGTCAAACTACTTCGTTAAATACCATCACTAGTATCGTCTTATGTATCAATGTACTTCTTTCTCAGACAACCTTACATCCTAGCGGCAAGTATGAGATTAAAGACTATAAGTGATATACTTTAATACAGGTTCGTATGTTGTATTAATTAAACCCTTTGCCCTTGACTTGGCCTTTAAATAAAGACCCTGGCCACCAATTCTCTTTGTAGCAAGTATGAGATTAAAAGGACAATTGAATTTATAGGCATTTTTGTCGGAATATTTCATTGTTTTTGACCCTAAAATAATTAAACTTCTTTACCCAGTCATTCTTCAGAAATTTTGCAGCTATGACTGAGTCAGATAGTATACTGTACATGTATATGGGTTCACAACAAACTAGTGAGTACACAAACACGCATGCACACATTAGGCTAGTTCTACCCCCTGATTTTGCACTTCAGCACAATGTCGTCAGGACTTAGCGCAATATCTGCCCTGGTTTGGGAGGACATTATTCAGCCTTACTTCCAATGCTTCACGCTGCGACAAGGTTCTATTGTCACCAAGGCTACAGGCGAGTATTGTTCGTTGAGAAAGATCATATGTATTTCTTAATAGAATCATGATAATATAGTTTGGAATACGGACAAAAAATTGTTTTTATTAACTGTTACCTAAAAGTGGTATTACATGTAACCTCTGCTAAGAAATACTTGCCAGACAAGTGTATTTTTCTTCTTAGCAGAGGCTACATGTAATGGTGATCTGAAAATTTTGATACCATATATCTCAAAGAAAGGAACATTGATTTAGCAAAACCGTGAAGACAAGAACAGATCGATGTCATAAATCCTGTAAACACTACCAGTTAAGATCAGAGCAAAAACACAGACCCCTGGAAACACAAGAGATCAGGTGCCTAGGAGGAGTAAGCATTCCCCGTGAACCAGTCACACCCTGAGCCCTCTGTAATGATCGTGTTAATGGAGATAACCGTATTCAAAATTATTTGTTTAAATATTGGCTTAACAAATTGGTATGAAACAAGCAAAAATTTGACCCAACGATAAGTTGCATTTGCCAAAAGGTCAAGTGAAACTTGAAATAAAAAAAAAATCACAGATTCAACCACATTTGCTTCATATTTGAATGTTTTACTATGGCAAACTAAATTAAAGTTGAATTACATGACAAAGCGGAAGACTTCAGTTTTTTTTTTCATCGTCAACTTTCACTATTTATGTAGCAATATTCCACTATCACCTGCATATGGTGTATATAATTACCAACTGCTTCGCAAGAGCATGTTATGGGTACGATTTATTTCATAATCTAGATTAATTACTGACAAATAAGTTGATGTTACAGGGTTTTCAATTGCTAGTCTTGTTTAATTCTACGGTAATTATAATGACATCGTTCGCTTGTATTTTGACTGAAGTGTTTCATACCAATTGCTAGGCCTTGTTTTATACTAATTTTGACAACGGATGACCTGATTAATATATGCGCTCAGTGCGATTGTGACCGGTCCTTAGGGGATGATTACATGTACTCCTCCTAGACACCTCATCCCACCGCTGATATACCCTGGAGTTCATTTGTTGTCCTGCTCACAATTCATATTGTTTACAGAATTTATGAGATTGATCAGTTTGTTATTTTCTACTTTTCATTACACACTAGTATGTTATTACTAAAAAAAAAAAATAAAACAAAAATAATGCAAGTCATGATTTATTTTGTTTATAATTGATGTTTATATACATTTTAGTTTCTGTTTTTGGTGGTATAATTGTCGGAATGTCATTTCTTGCCATGAATTTACCTGGCACAATAACGCAGGTAAACGGTCTACACTAATCAGAAATGTCAAAAATCACGGTCTACTATAATCAGAAATATCAAAGATCACGGTCTACTATAATCAGAAATATCATAAATCACCGTCTACTATAATCAGAGATATCAAAAATCACGGTCTACAATAATCAGAGATATCAAAAATCACAGTCTACTATAATCAGAGATATCAAAAATCACGGTCTACTATAATCAGAGATATCAAAAATCACGGTCTACAATAATCAGAGATATCAAAAATCACGGTCTACTATAATCAGAAATATCATAAATCACGGTCTACTATAATCAGAAATATCATAAATCACGGTCTACTATAATCAGAGATATCAAAAATCACGGTCTACAATAATCAGAGATATCAAAAATCACGGTCTACTATAATCAGAGATATCAAAAATCACGGTCTACAATAATCAGAAATATCAAAGATCACGGCCTACTATAATCAGAAATATCATAAATCACGGTCTACTATAATCAGAGATATCAAAAATCACGGTCTACAATAATCAGAGATATCATAAATCACGGTCTACTATAATCAGAAATATCATAAATCACGGTCTACTATAATCAGAAATAACATAAATCACGGTCTACTATAATCAGAGATATCAAAAATCACGGTCTACAATAATCAGAGATATCAAAAATCACGGTCTACAATAATCAGAGATATCAAAAATCACGGTCTACAATAATCAGAAATATCAAAGATCACGGCCTACTATAATCAGAAATATCCAAAATCACGGTCTACTTTAATCAGAAATATCAAAAATCACGGTCTACTATAATCAGAGATATCAAAAATCACGGTCTACTATAATCAGAAATATCATAAATCTTTTTGAAGTATCAGATGAAATTGTTTTATGCTCGATTTTCTGATAAAAACTATTTATATAGTAAGTCGAGAATCATCGTAAGACATATCTTATTTTTTACCATAATATGCATTAGCATATGCCTCCAAAGACTTCATATACCCATGGTATCTAAGGTCATTGAGAATACCCTAACATATATTCTATCCCATCCAGCAATGAATTCCTATTATTTAACACAAGAAATAATATGGCACTGATTTTGTAGAAACTGATCAATCATAGTTTGTTCAGAAGATTTTGGAAGAACAAGTTTTTTTGTACAGAAAATGCAGAGGACATGTTTGGTAAATTAGCTATTAGTATAGTCTATTCTTCAAAACCAATCCAGTCGCCCGCGTGGCGCAGTGGTTAGAGCGTCTGCTCTAGAGTCGCGAAGCAAGGAGTTGATCCTTACGTCGCGGGTTCGAATCCCACTGTGGGACGTGGAGACCGGTCCTTCGGATGAAACTGTATAAACCTAGGTCCCGTGTCGCAGTAGGTGCTGGCACGAAAAAGATTCCTCACTGCTCAATGGCCGTAAGTGCCGAGTATAGGACAAAATTTGCAGCTCTCCACCGGCAAGTGGTGGCGTCTCCATATGAGTGAAAAATTCTCGAGAGGGACGTAAAAGAAAATACAATCAATCAATCAATCAATCAAAACCAATCCAAAAACTCCTACTGTAGCATCTTATTTACGTTGGAACTGTATTTTTTGCCAAAGTAAGAACACAGAAATGAATAGCGACTGCAGAAACAGCGCGTAACTGCTGCTCGGGAAGCGAGCTCTATAGACAAACGTCTAAGAACAGTGGAAATACAAAATGAAATCTATACATTCGCCAGGCAAATTTTTGTTTGAAACCTTCCCAGAATTCTTTTGCTACCACAATTTCATGCCATAATGGCAAGTGTGAAAGACCCGCAGTTATCATGAAAATTTAGTTCTTTCAGAGAGCTTAAAAGAAACAAAATAGCTGTATCTACTCTATGTAATGCTTTTTGTTAAAAATTGCTCTAGGCTTATTTCAACTCCATTATGAAAATGCTGATTACTTACGACGTCAAGAACGTCACAAACGCTTAAGTTTGATTGATTGATTGATTGAATGTTGTTTTACGTCCCGTTCGAGAATTTTTCACTCATGTAGAAACGTCACCATGTAACAGTAAAGGGCTTAAATTCAAATTTAGACTTTCTGTCGGCACTCAGGGCCATTGAGCAGTGAGGGTTCTTTATCGTGCCGACGCCCAGCGTGACACGGGGCCTGGGTCTAATCCAAAGGAGCTGCAACTTTCACTTCAAAGTGCTGAGCGCTTGGCAAAGGGAACAGTTGCTACCTATTTTTTTTTTATCGACTTAGGTCAGTCGCGGCCATGATTCGAACACACGCGACCTTCCGATCACGAAGCGAGCGCGCTACCGACTGAGCTACTGTGACGGACGCTTGAGTTTGAAGTGGCATATCAAATAAGTTGTTGTAAAAGTGTAAGTTTTGTAAAGCTTTTTGATGGAACAACTGTACTCCCCCCAACGGTCACACCGTAAAACATTTTTAAAAACGTGTTTGGCAACTCTTCTTTTGTTTTCTCGTAATTTTTCTCTCTTAATAAAAGTTAACATTATTTAAAAATAATTTAATTCTGGTTGTAACGCGCCATCTCATTGGCTGAAAAATTATTTAGTATTGTATAAGCTATGTTGACTACATCATCACAATATGATCTGACGTCAAAACGTACCAATCGATCCGCTTGACGTTGGATTTAAATTGTGTACAATTTAAAGTCATTTTTAGTGGAAATTGTTTCTTTTTTCCAGTATACTTGTAAAAAATAATAAATTATATGGAATAAATTTAATAGCTACCCAAGTTATACTTGTGTAACCTAGGTTGGAACTGCTTACACTTTAATTTTTTCATAGATTGCAAGATGCGTACTTTTGTTTTTAGTTATGGTTAGTCTCCAAAAAATTATGATATGTATCAAAATTTAGTAAAGGCAAGTATTGGCTTCGCGTTTTCCTATCATCATAATCGTTAATTAAACGGTTAAACAATTCATAATTACAAATATTGAAGACGTCGATTTTCTTAGCTCACCTTTAACGAAGTTTGGAGAGCTAATGTTATAACCTCGGTGTCGGCGTCCAAGGTTAAAGTTTTTGGAGCAGATTTCTTTTCAAGTACTTCTAATCCCTAAACTGATCAGAGATGCATGGATGATGCTTCTAGTGTGTTTCTTTGTACCAGTCAAGGTTTCAGATGCTACAATTTCAGCTAAAGAATAACCAGGTTAAAGTTTTTGGAGCAGGTTAAAGTTTTCAGAGCAGGTCTCATTTCCAAAGTAACTACATAAATCCTATATTGACCAAACTTGTATGGATGATACATCTAAGGATGCACACTACCAGGCTTGCTTCAGATGCTGGATCTGACCTACATTTTCCGGATGAGTGACCATGTTAAAGTTTTTGGAGCAGATATCATTTCCAAGTAACTATAAATCCTATATTGACCAAACTTGCATGGATTATACATCTAAGGATGCACACTACCAGGCTTGCTTCGGATGCTTGATCTGACCTACATTTTCCGGATGAGTGACCATGTTAAAGTTTTTGGAGCAGGTCTCATTTCCAAGTACATGTAACTATAAACCCTATACAAACTTGCATGGATGATACATCTACGGATGCACATTACCAGACTTGCTTCGGATGCTGAAACTGACCTACATTTTCCGGATGAGTGACCATGTTGAAGTTTTCGGAGGTCTCATTCCCAAGTAGCTATAGACCCTATATTGACCAAACTTGATTGGATGATACATCTAAGGATGCACACTACCAGACTTGCTTCGGATGCTGAACCAGGTTAAAGTTTTTGGAGGAGGCCTCATTCCCAACTACCTATAAACCCTATCTTGACCAAACTTGCATGGATGATACATCTAAGTATACACACTACTAGACTTGCTTCGGATGCAGAATCTGACCTACATTTATGGATGAATGACCAGATAAAAGTTATTGGAGCAAATCTCATTTCAAAGTAACTATAAGGCTTATAATGACCAAACTTGAATGAGGATGCACACTACCAGACTTGATTCGGATTCTGAATCTGACCTACATTTTCCAGATTAGTGATCAGCTTAAATTTTTTGGAGCAGCTCCATTACCAAGAAACCATAAGGCCTACCTGAACCAAACTTGAATGGATGATGCATCAAGGGATAAACACTCTCAAAGATGCTTCAGATGCTGGCTTTGACTTACATTTTCTGGATAAGTGACTAGTTTAAAGTTTTTAGATAAGTTCATTCCCAAGTAACTACAAGCCGTATCAGACCAAAATTATATAGATGTTACATCTAGAGATGCACACTGTTAGATTACTGAGTACTAGTTTAGTGTGGGACTTTGCCTTACACAAAGATAACATTCTCTGTGGTGAGCTCTGTTATCTTTGATTACTGGTATGTTTTATACTTATGGAATTATTTTGGTGATAGATTACATTAGGGACCTTATCTGCCACATCAGGACCTCTTGTGGGAGTTTATCTTTTGGGAATGATTTTTCCATGGGCCACAGCCAAAGTAAGACATCTCTCATTGCTGTTGCCTACTTACCATCTCTCTCTCTATCTCTCACAATTTGATTTTGGTCCAGACGAAAAAATTAAGTATACGTATAGATTTCATTTTTTTGGTTATGATGAAAATCGAACTTCATCAACAAATATCCCACTTTAGTATATTTATACTTGAATATTTAATTCAACTATTTAAAAATTCTTTATCAATAACAGTGCATTGTGACTTTTCCGTCAGCAAACATTAGTTGCATGTTTCTATGTTTTACAGTCTGCTGTCGTCTCTGGGGTTCTTGCGTTTTCTCTATGTCTTTCTATGACGATTGGATCGAACCTATACCCCACTAAATACCCTCAACTCGACCCTATCCCTACGTATGGCTGTAGTGGTTTCAACTCCACACTAAAACCCCTATATAATGTCTCAATCCATTCCGTCAATACCACAATTAGTGAGCAATATAATGGAAGACTGATTGACAACATTCAACCTTTTCATGCAGTAAACTATACGCTGGTTCCACCCACTGGACAAAGTGAAGATAACAAGCAAGTATCGTATGGTCAATTAATTCTATAATGTCAAAAATCTATTTTATTAACATTTTATGATTACTGTTAATTGAAAAGATTTGTACCTGTCATTTCAATCATCTATAGCTATTGAGTGCAAAAAAATATTTTCCGTCTTTATGTTAACATTATTACGACCATTGAGTCCTGAATAGCCTCAAAACTGTTCCATTTTGTAAATATTTTTCTTTGAAGTGCGCCTTGGTTATTCCGGGTCTCGTTTCTATGGTACCACGTGACTGGTGTCGTCACCACTCTCATTAGTGGAACCATTCTTTCTATCGTTTCAGGTTTGTAAAGTAATGATAAAAATAAGATAAATATTTTTACTTGAAGACAAGGGTCAGAGAGAACACTTTGAGGTCGATGAACTGTGGACATTTATGTACAGCTTCATATATGGATAGAATTTCCTTCCTTTTGTTCGAAAATACATGCACAAAATTGAGAGAAAAAGTAGCAAGACCGATTTACCCTAGACGCTATTTATAAATGAAGGAATACATAAAGTTAGAAAAATAATTCCAAAAATAAATAAATGATTGATTTTAAACACAAACTGAGAATGTATTAAATATATGGTCACTCATTAATACAGTAGTTTAATTACATTAAATATCTAAAAGATTTTTTTTAATATCACAAAATACCTTTTCAGAAAAGCAATACAGATTAAAGTTGCTGCGTAAAAAGGAATATTGAAAGAAAAAATACAAATAACTTGAATTAAGTCTTATGAATCTGATTGTTAACTCTCCGTCAATAAATACACACGTCGAACTAACATACAAGCACAGGCACTTGGGGTATGGCGCACCCCCCCCCCCCTTTTCCATTTTTTTTTCTTTTTAAATCTGGGATCAAGTCACCTTTTTCCTATTTTGGTATTCTCATATGCACTATATGTTAATGATAATGTAACCCTTTTGTAAAATGGAAAAAAGGGTGGAGGGTTCCATACCCCAAGTGCCTGTGCATACAAGCCCTAAAACTATCATAGTCAATACTGTTGTCCAGCTTCAACGGAATTATTGTGGAAGAGTAATGGACCAACTTTATAATGTCCGTGTCCCCTGGCAGCACAGTGATGACGAAATACATGAAAATTTACTGTAAATATGGATAACAATGTACTCAAATTGTCAATGATTAGAAACATACTAGTATTACGTTAAAACAGCCAAAATTACGACGAAATTATAGTAGCTTTTCTTCTTTATATAATTTCGGTCGGAATCGGCTTAATTTGGATATTTTTTTAAGTAGATAAATTTGCCACCTCTTATTTCTCTCAATATAACTGTTTCCACCAAATTTATTGATTGATTCAACAATTTGTACTTTGTATGTATTACAACATGAAGAGAAAGTTTTCAGATGGATTCGTAATGAAAATTGGATAATGAAGTCATAAGTCACTTGTTTAACTCAATTGAAGACCCCCCATTTTTTTTAAAAGATATATTAATAGTTGTATTATTCGTTGATATTATCAAAGATAAGGATTTATACTATGAATAATATTTATTTAATATTAATATTTTAATTTTAATATTACTTTAATATTATCTACTTATAAGTATCTTTTTCATATAAAATAAATCAAAAACGTAGTAAATGTTTAACATCATGTTGCCCGTTTTGCACTTAAAATTAAGCACTTACCAAAAATAAGACTAAAAGAACACTAAATTTTTTTTTATGTCACCATGTGTTTAAACAATTGCTTCAAATAGTCTACTTGAAAAAAATAATTAAAATCCATGACATGCGAGGAACCACCCATTGCCTGGTATTTTGGTGGACTGCCTTGTTACAACGCACTTTGAAAAATTACGCAATTGAAAAAAAAATTCAAAGTGCGTTAATTTTGGGACCACTTTAACGCACTTTGAAAAAAAAAATCTTTTCAAAGTGCATTTTCTTGTCAAAAACGCACTTTGAAAAGATTTTTTTTTTTCAAAATGCGTTCATATCGACCATATTAACGCACTTTGAAAAAAAAATGTACACGGCTTAGTCAATATTCTCTCTCATTCATCTATTTTTCTATCATATTCATCTATCTATCTATATATTGTGAACATATATGAAACAATGGTTGACTTATTTATTTGAATACTCACTCGACTGAAATTTTTACCTCGTTTACTAATAACTTTTCTCAAAAAAGTTATGCAGTCAGATTACTTCTAAATCTGTAATTTGATATAAAAAAAAAACGCTAGACATGTCAAATAGCATGTTTTCATTACCATGCAAATGCACTTTTTCTGAGGAATCATTGTGGATACAATTTGAATAAAGGTTACGCAGCTCTCTTCTTTAATATAATAGGGTGCTTAATTCTTTTTTTTTCAGGAAAGCTTATCTCAATTTTTTCATCTATTTTCCGTTAACTCAAATTTATTGAGAGAAATAATATCAATGTCATACCAGTTATGTAAATAGGAAAGATAGAGAGTTGAGCTGAGGGACTTTCTACCTGTCTTCTCCTCGTTCTCGATGAGAGTAGATGAATTCATCAGTTTTTCGGAAGAAATATAAAAAAATAATGCTGTCCATTATTAAAATCTAATTCCAGAATTTTTGTTTTATACGTATTTTTTCAAAGTGCGGTAAGTGTCTCCATGGTAAAAAATGTTGATGTACACTCTTAACGCACTTACGCACTTTGAAAAAAAAAATTCAAAGTGCGTTGATTTTGTCCAAAATTTAACCCACTTTGAAAATTTTTTTCAAAGTGCGTAATTTTTTCAAAGTGCGTTGCCACACTGCCTCTTAAAATCATATGCGAGCACCATTTTTTTTAAACCTGTACCTATACTGTTAAGTTTGTTTTTTTTAAATTTTGCACTGTTAACTTTATTTTAAAAAATACATTTCCTTATGTTTACAATAGACAGATAGATCCAATCTCAATATCATGGAGAAAATTAAAAACAAAATAACTGTCTGTCTGTCTGTCTCTCATTTGTTAACTATGCCTTCCGTGCCGGCAAAATGTAAACAAGGCAATAACAACTTGCATGCACTACACCACTCAATTCCTAAAACTCGTGTAGTTTGGTCAAAAAACTTCAGAAATTTTAGCGCTATGGGCATATATAACACACACTAAATCAACCCAAATATGTCCAGAGAAAAAAAAAATGAATCAAATTGCATTAAAAATCCGTATATATATATATATATATATATATATATATATATATATATATATATATATATATATATATACATATATATATATATATATATATATATATTAAACTCTATAATTTCCTAATAATCATAGTTAAGCACTTGATATCTCATTTACTCTGTCCATTAGGAGGATTTTCTGACATACCATGTGAAGAGAGGTTTGTCTTCCTATTCGTCAGAAGACTAAATTGCTACCGGAAGCGATTGAAAATCAAGCAGCCATTGGCCCATTATACAGAATTCAGGGCTTCCTTCCGGTCAAAATACGACGACGAAAATCGTGCATCTTTCCGTTCCATAGAAAAACACAGTGAAACTCGCTTGCAGAGCAGATAAGCACTACTTTAATGATTCGGGAAGATAAAAAAAAAATACTCACCGTTGGTGGAATGCACTGTATCTTTTATCAGAAGGACTGTCGGATAGAAGTAGAAAAAATGTCAATTTCAAAATAAAATTATTAATTATAAAAATAGAAATTACATGTCATTTTTTGATTTCATGATAAATAGGTACCCACCAGTAAATATAATCTCCAGAAACATAATTTCATTTTTTGTTAAATGCGTCAGTCATCTGAGCAGTGTTCACTGCTGAAGTGATCAGCAGCGCCTGTGTCAGATAAATAGTTAGTAGATCTGCATTGATCCTCTGGACACCTCAATGATTCCCTGTTTTCAGATACAAAAGCAGATACAAACTGCAGGGAATACTTTATCGGTAAATGGAAGTCAGAAGTGCTATTTCATTTTGATCAACAAATTAAAGTTAAAAATTAAAATTGCACAAACATTTAGAAACCATTCAACTGAAGCAAGTCGTCAGTTTACCATCTTTGATTCATTTAATGAATCAATCAACATTAAACACAAATTTATAGCCACAAAAATCAACTTTTTTCCCCGGAAATTAAATGTTAGAAATCCATAGGTCATTTATTTGTACTGTATTATAAACTTTCACGTTAGTTGTCACTGCGATTTTTATCTTGAATTAGAAAAATTAAGTGCCCATAATATCAACTGACACCTTTTGGATACTAGTAAATATAAATTTCCTCATATGATTTTAAAAGTTGTATAAGTCGTCGCAAGAGTCCACCGTTTGATGTGTGTGGAATTGTTTTAAAGTGCACATTCTAGTGGATAAAGCCCGTTCTTTGAACACATAAAACTGATATTTTTTCCTGCAAAGTTGATACAGAAATGTTCGGCACTATTTAAGGATGTTCCCTAAGTAGGTACGCCATTTCTTTCATGTCTTCATAAATACATTTATACTGGAAAGTAATTAACTACTAAAACAACCTTATAATGTATATATTGTGATACTTAAATCGAAAGAGAGATGTTATGCTTCTAATTGAAACACTTTGATTCACACATCCAGACAAGGGATTATTTTATCCCCTCAGTGATTTCTCTTTGGGCTATAATTAAAAACACATCAAAAAGTGCAAGCAACTCATCTACACATGTGTATTACATATAATTACACCTTTCAAAGTGGGTGAATTTTAAGGATTTTTGTGTTTGTAGTGTTAATTGCACTCTAACACAAAACATCTATCATTTATTGTGAAAAAAATTATTAGAAATTTGAGAGAAATTCAAAAAATGTCTTGTTTAAAGTGTTTCCAGCATTAACCTTTTGATTATTGCAATAAAACTATTCCACCTTGATTGTAGATTTATGAAATTTCAAAGGCTCAAGCATTTAAATTCAACTTATACTTAAGCAGATTGTGCCATTTTGAAATAATAACTACATGTGCAAGCGTCCTATGATGGGTTCCAAAGACAACATATGTCGTTTTTGGCTGTCTTAGCAATATAACATCCAAAATGAAATATTTAAAGAATGTATTGATATTATTAAAAAAAATCAAGGTAACTAGCTATAGATGCCACCAACTGATGTCATGATGTTAAATTGAGAAAATCAGCTAAAAGAGGTACATGGGCTACAACGCGTCAATATGGCCCTGCTGTTCTTCATCATCAGATTTTTTCTCTTGTATATTCGTATGTAAAACTTTGATCCCCAGTTGTAACCCCACTCTACCCACCAGGTGTCATGATTTGAACAAACTTGAATCTAAACTATCTGAGGATGCATGCTTCCATATTCATATGACTATAATCATGACCTTTACTTATCTTGAGAAGAAGATTTTTGAAGATGTAATCCATATCCTATCCTAAGAATCATGATTTGAACAAACTTGAACGTACACTACCTTAGGATGCTTCCATAACAATATGACTAATAATAACGTTGCTGTTCTTTAGAATAAGAATTTTAAAGATTTTTTCCTATATGTTCCTATTTAAAACTTTGATCCCCATTGTGTCCCACCCTACCTTCGGGGGTCATGATTTAAACAAACCTGAATCTACACTACATGTACCTGAGGATATTTCCATATCAATATGACTAATCAAGGTTTTGTGTGAAGTAGGCTAAAGATCACTTTGGTCCCTCTACCCTAGGAAAAGTCAACCCTCGTATGATTAAAAAAAAATATCTGTAGGGTTTTTTCTCTTAGGAATAAAAAAGTTATTAAGGGAGATGTGGCATCTTTAAAACAATACTATTTAATAAAAGGTATAAAAACAGGTAATGTATTTTTTTTCGTGTTCAATGATGTACAGATTGTATACAAACAGTCCATTGGATAATTATCACTACACGCTTTAACGTGTACGTAGTTATAATTGCAATATTTTGAGGCTGTTTTGCAATCCATTCAAAGTTATTTTAGATAGAGTGCTTCATACAAAATATGTTTGAGAAAGCGTCCGAGGATTTTCAAATATTCACCTGGTGGACACTGATCAATTGGTTTGACAAGACGGTATTACACGATCTCTTCTATAGCAATAAAGCACAAAAGGTTCTGTACTTCTAAACATTGATTGAGATAATCAACAAATATTATCTTCCCCTCAAGATTGATTTCGAATCAGACATGAATTCCAAGAACAATCCAGGAATTGTTTGAAATGATGTCCTGAAAATCGTTGACGCACTGCCTATAGAATCCATGACATCAAACACGCTGTGGTGTCAAAAGGAGCCCGTAACATTGTAAAGTTTGAATCAGGTTAAAAATCAGGTCTATGAGACAAACTAACTGGAGTACAATATTGAAAGGAATTCGGTCTGCTTGAATGCGCAAGCGCGCGAAAATGTAAGCAGCATTTGTAAAGGACGTTGATTTGAAGAACACTAACGTCAGAAGGGCTTCTGTTTCTGTACTGAACTCAACGGGAACTGTGTAGAAGAAAATACACGTACACGCGGATATAAACACAATGTATATGTACACAATAGGCCAGAATACTAGCTTGTTAACACAAATTACGGATATGAATTGTAGCAAGTCGACAAAATATCCTATACAGATCCGAACCAAGAAAAATCCGCCGCTGTTTCCGGTATATGGCACTCCACTCCAAACTGACATCGCCTGCATGGTCATATCCATCATTGTCCATCACAATAGAAGAATTCAAATGACAATTTCTAACGTACACAGTGAATTTATTTAAAGTATTCTGTCCTGTTATGAGAACAATAGCATTTAAAGACATGCATTCATTGTGAAGTCCTGCTTGTTTTCCTTTTCTAGTTAACCTCTCGTGTACTAATAAATAGAGGATGAAAACCTCCATGAAAATCGGCATATTAATTTTCCTCCAACCATACCCTTATCGGGAAATATGCTGAAAAATTGCGTTTTAAATTTTAAAGGAAAAGTCGCACAATTTTGTTCTTGCTATTTCAAATGTAGTTTACAACTATATATATATATAAGGAACGTTTTTAAGTTTTGTTTGAGTTATTGGAGTGTAAATCACACAGACTTGTCACGTAGGCATATTTCATGTCTGTGTAATTTACACACCAATAATTCACAATAAACTTTAAAAAAAAACAACATTTACAATTGAAATGTTTAAAAGCACCAAAAATAAACTCAGATCAATATCATACTTGGTTAAGTGGAAAAACACAGCAAATGTAAATATATTAATATTATAACATTTTTGTGCGTAGTATAGTACTGTATACGATTTTTTCCCTTAAATAAATTTAGTGAATCATTTTTTTTATTTTTATTTTCATGTTATTTCGAGTGACACTAATGGATTATACGTGAACATGTTTCCTAATTGCAGAAATGTACGGAATAGTTAGATTCCCATTGTTTAGGTTTTTTTTTTTTAAATTTGTAACAAGTTTCACGGTACTGTATGGAATGTCATTTTTGGTATCATAGTGAAAGTGCAAAATGATTTACTTTATTCAGTTTTATTATAATGAAAGAAATCCCGCGCAATTAAGTGGGAATTGTTTTCACTGGTGATGGAATCAAAAATGGAGATAACAGAAATCAAACTCAAAAGTACATAGAAAAAATACAAATCAGGAGCAGAGCAAACAGGGATCTCTAAAAACAAATTCTATGGTCGCAAGAGTTGGGATCAGGTGCAAGAAAGGAGTAAGCATCCCCTGCCGACCGGTCACACCCGCCGTGTGCTCCTTGTTATGATCGGGAAATAACAGAAAAATTTCAGTGGGTAAATAACTCTTAACAATTAGTATGAAAAACGTCAGACAGCATTTGCCTTACATTTTAATAATAAAGCATTGTTTTGATAACAAGGTCATTGTATCGACCATAGAACTTGCGAAATGATGACTTTGAACGAGGCTGTTGATATTCTTGTTTCATCAACTTGTCAATAGCTTGCCTCGTTTTAGAAATTGTACTCTTGCATATCGAGTCAACTGGGAGACAGAAAATCCATATGCAGGTGATAAAGGTATATTGCTATTTAACGGATGTTGACGATAGAAAGGTGGAAGTCATCACGTTTATCATAAAGTTTTATTGTTAAGTCAGACTCGGCGGTGTCCTTTATTTCAAGTTCACTGGGATACATATATCGAGTCGACATATGAATGGAAGTAATTATTGTTAATTGATAATACGTCGTCTGTCGACTTGAAGGCCACAGCAAGTGTTTTCTTCTTCTCATGAGCAAGTTTTTAAATAAATTCTGCTACATATTATGAATACAAAAAAGGTATGCTAATAACGGGGCACATTTGATTTCCAAAACTACATAAATATTGTCAATCACAAACTTAGGCATCTTTTTAATAACAACTTCAGAGCTCTTGTGTGTAAAATCGGAATATTTTGTAATTTTATTATTTTGTAAATGACCAAGACAAGATAAGTAACATTTTATTGCCAATACATCTTTGAAGTTTTTACTGACAATTAATGAGAAAAAAAATACTTCGTACAATCCTTTGTTCAACATCCCGCAGTTACTGTGAGAGCACAAGTAGATATACGTTCCCTCGGGTTTTCTTTTTTTTTTTTTTAAATTTGCGTTTCACATCGTATGTCTTTTGTTGTAGAAGTTCGTTTCACACCTTATGTAAATGCGTAATACCTAATTACTTATAATAACTATTGTGTCCAGAAAATTACTTTGGGGGGGGGGGGGGGGGGGAGGAGGGGTAAATTGTAGTGCAGAAATGCCCAAAATGGGAGGGGGACTCAGGAATTATTTTTGTGTTATATTTGAAGTGAACCTCCAACTAAATGTAAATACTGTTATAACTCCATTGGCTTAGCCCTGGACCCAAACGTCGTGAATTTTGAAAGTGAATAATTGTTCATTCAAATAACAAAAGCTTGAAACAATTTTCATGCTGGTTGTCACAGGGAAAAGATTTTAAAAGATTGATGCATCTTCAGTACATGTGTATATAACCATATGGCTCATTTTAGTGTAGAAACCCTGCAGCAATGGATTAACGATTTATGTAATATAAAGGGCTTCTTACTCATTACAATCATGCAATTTGCCTGCTCTAAAGTCTTTCAGTCCATATTTTCTCTATCATAAAACTTGTACCAGTAGTAATTTATACTCCTTTTACTTGTTCATTATAATATCATACTACATCCAAAATTAAACAAGCCATACATTGTTCAATCATTTTTATTTCTGATTGTTCCCAAGGAATGCAATACAGATTAAAGAATTTTCCTTTGTTCTGTGAGATTCAATGATACAATTGGTAAATAACAATATGCCCTATCATCCTGATTTAAATTTCATCTTCCAATATTTGACAAAACATTAAGGTTCATGTACACAGAAACCAACAACACACTTTCATTTGAAAACACAGCCTTTCAATAATATACATGTACACACATGTCTCATCTGTCCCCTTCTGTGACCTTCACCTTTGAGATATCATCTTCATAATTTACTTTTAGGTCATGGCCCACCATACTTGGATGTCATTTTCTGACAGACAATGTCTCCTCAAATTTAGGAGGACAAAATTAACATAAATATCATCATGAACCAACTGATACTTTCATATCTCTTTAAATCAAACCTAAAAACCTTAACAAATCTTTAGACAAATAAGTGGCATAAAAAACACTGCCTTGTGATAAAATCCCTAACAAAAAAGATCAGTTGGAAGTAATGGTAAAACTTTCGTAAATATGTCTACTATCTGTTTCATGCAATCATTTTTTCCATTCATTTTTCATGCAATAACTTTTTAATCTTAACAAGGTACCTACAAAATTCCATTTGTCTATGCAGTAAAACAAATGAAAAAGTCTTTTAAAAAAAGTGTAAAATTCTGTTATGAAACATATTCTAAGTTCAATGCATTACAGGCATTTTGTGCTGCTGCTAGCCTTGCTGATTTTTTAGAAGTTCCAGTTCCTGTGAAAGTTTGTCCATCAATTTCTACAGAGATAACAAACGTCGGGGCGTGCACGGGTCCAGTCTGGGACACCACGTTGTAACTTAGTCCTGGATTCCTTTCATTCAGTACCATTAGGGCATTCTTAGGAGCACTGCTCTTCTGCTTTTTGGGTTTAGGGACATTAGGAGCTCCTGGATTTTTTCTCTTTATCCCAGTGAAAATGCTGGATTCTTCACTAAGATTTTCATAACCTGAAAATAAAATAAATAACTTTCCATTTAAAAAAAAATCAAACTCATAAGATTAATCACTGCTGAATGTCAAATTCCATTATTGCATAAATTATTTCTTTAAAAAACAAGGTGTGTTTGTGAAACACTGATTCCCTCTTATGGCACCCTAATGCCAATGGAAAGTTTTTTCAAATGTAGGTCAATCTCCTAGGTTATAGGAGAAAAAAAATGAAAAAAATAATGGTACCCAAGGAAAGTTCTTGCCACAAGGAATACACATGCAAAATATGTAAAGAAAGTCCAACATCAACTGTTTAGAAGTTAGTGCAACAGTATATGATTGTTTTTTTTTTCACAAGTAGGTCAAACTCTAAAATCAAGGTCATGAGGTCAAAAATAAATATAACAAAATAAGGTAAACTTATAGATGTAGATATGCTGCCCCAAAACAAAGAAGTATGATTATCAGGGTTTGACAAAACAGTCAGTCTGGTTCTTGGCAACAACTCTTAAAATTCATCTATTTACATGTACATGTACTTGCTTGTGTGCCAGTGCAATCTATGCTCTCATTTGTTACTTTCACCAGACTGTGAATTTTGTAATTTTAGAAGAGACACCCTTGCTCATCATAACCATGTACTTAGTTTGTCTAAAGAATTCCCATGAGTAAAGAAGCAGAGACATTGAAGTTACATTTCTGTACCCTTTTGTCCATAGATACATGTACTATTTACCAACATTGTTTGAAATAGGTTCAGCAACTCCAGAGAAGAAGCTGAACATGTTCAAATGTAAAAGCAAGATGGGTGAAGACAGCATAAAACAGATAGCAGTAAGTAACCTGAGTGACTCAGGTGACCTAAAAATCTTCTCAAGAACCATTCTACCAGAAAATGTAAAACTTATTAGGGTGGGGCCACAACTGGGGATCCAAATTTTACATTGTATAAATAGGAAAAATTATTTCAGATGATCTCAAAAACCATTGTACCAGGAAAGATGAAACTTACTTGAAAGCTTCCAGATAGAGTAGATTCTGAATTGATGAAATGATGGCCCCCGAGGAAGAGTGACTCAGATGACCTAAAAAATTTTCCTGTTTATTTCGATTTTAACCTCTGGCCCCTATTGTTGCCCTATCATAGATCCAGAGGCCTTGATTTGAATTAACTTGAATCTGAATACTTTATACATACTTTTACATGTTTTGTCTTATTTGGCAGAGTAGTTTTTGAGAAGACCTTAAAATAAATTACCATATTTGAACTTCTTAATTTTCTCCCCTTGAAAAATGGTGACATTCTTTTTTGAATAAACCTGAATTCCCTTTACTGAAAGATGCTTTGTCTCAAGTTTGGTTGAAATTGGTCCAGCAGTTCAGGAAAAGAAGATAAATATGTGACAATACATAAAATGCATGCATATATACAGTGAATTTATGTATGTACAAATATATACTCAGTAAACTGCCTGGCAAAGAATTCCATTTCAAACTTTAATTCAGATTATCTAAAATCATATAAATTCAAACATACCTGGTACATAGAGAATGTTGAACTTCTTTAATAGTGCATATTTACACGCCTCCAGTTTGGCACATCTCTGTGACCTTCCAGTTCCAGTGAAGATTTCTCCATCCACCTTAACATTACAGCTATAGGCTGTTTCCTGCTTCTTCTTCTTCTTGCTGGCTGTTTCTGGAGTGATTGCTAGAGTCTGACCGGGGCCATCTTCTGTTTGGGAGGCTTCTGTTTTCACGATGACATTTTCCTCCGTTGTGGTCACAGTACTGATATCATACACCAGTCCTAAAAAATATTCATCAAAAATAAAAGGAAGTCTATAACTGAAAAAAAGCTCACAAATTGATAATTTCAAACAGTAAATTATGTTTATCTTGGTGCAATGAAGTGAGAATATCAAGACTTAAAATACCTGCAGATCTGTAGCTCACTGGTCTGTAAAAATTGGGATGGATGAGCAGAGAGCTACAGTGCCACCCATTGTAGCTAGACTAAAATGGCTGTTCAACATTTTAACATAATTTATGATTAAAAAAAAAATTCAAAAAGTATGAAACAATAAAAAAAATATTCTTTGACCTGCTTGCATACTTCTCTGTGCATATGAAGTATAGGATTGACAGGTGAAGGTAACGAATAGGGATCATTCTCAAAAGTCCATTTAAACAATACAAATTATAAGCAGATCGAGCCAACACAGACCTCTGAAAAACAGAGGTGAGATCAGATGACATGGAGAAGTAAGCATCATCTGTTGGCTGGTCACACTTGACATGTGCACCCTGTCATGATGGGGTAAATGAAAAAAAAATCAGCATGAAAATAATGGCTTAAAAACTTGTTGTATGAAAGACATCAGTCAACATTAGACTTAACCACAGTTACAAACAAGTCATCTTATCAACCATAGATTAGAGTTTCCGCACCATTACATATAAACAGTGATAATTCTATGAATTGGCAAAAATATCTGAAATATTTCGTGGGTCAAGGGGTGCCGAAATAAAGGCTTTATGGAGTCCTAAAAAGGTTTTAAATGAGTGACAAATATTGAAGTTTGACAGTTTGTTCAACAACTGTTACATCCTAACCTGGCTGAATAAACTGCCACGCCATTGTAAGGAAGTCTGAATCACTCTTACGTTTGTGTTTACCTTACTTGGAGATAAAACCAAACGTCTGAATGATGCAGACTAGAACAAAACACGGACTAAACAACTTGAATAAACCATCCAGACAAAAACGGGCATGGATCGATGCAAAATTAGAAAGTACCTAAAACATTGGAAAACACTCGTTCCTATCGGATTTTTGGATTCAAATTAGCGGAATTCCGCTAAATATCAGAACAGAATCATCACTGTATAAAACAGCTGAGTCACACTCTGTGGTGTCTTTTATTTCTAGTTCAATGGAATATATCAGATCAAAGATCTAATTAGAATAAAGAGTGCAAAGCACATGAATTGTGCTTCCATGAAATCAGAACCTTTGTTTTCTATTGGTGCTCTCTGTTTGCCTAATTACCTTTTCTGAGTTCATTAATATGCATGACTGGGTTCTTATTGGACAACTTAGGCTGGTTGACTGGTGCAGCCTGCTGTTGTTGATTGGAATTTTGTCCAGTGGTTGGATACTGGACATAAGACTGATAAACTGAATTAATGTTTTCTGTCTTTATCTTGCTGGCATCCACCATTGGCTGATCTGCTACAATCGTCTGACTCTGTTCCATTTTTTACAAAACCTGGAAATTCATATCATTACATATATTCTTGTTTTATCTTATTTATACTAATGTAGTAATTTAATAATTTTAATTTTTTTTCAAATTCAGTTGCCTTTTACATTTTTATTAGCAAAATGCCTATACACATGCAGCAAAAGTCATGACAATATATGTACTCATTATCTTTTTTTCTATTAAGAATGAAATAATCAACATAACCAACCCAATATTCATTCTAATAGTTCAGATCAATGCCTTTCATTGTCTTTAACCCAGAGTTTATCCATTTATGCTTCTTTCAAACAATAAATGGATACAGAAATCCTATAGGTTAATGAGAATGGATACATGGGATCCCTTATTTAACCATACATGCCTGGGCTAAACATAAACAAAACATAAACTTTAAAACAAGCTAGGCCAGTTTGACTAGAAATTTTTTCTAGCTTTGCTAGTAAACTTTACTTACTTTGTGAAGTTTTACCACAAATTACTTTTAATTTCATTTTCAGGGAAAAAAGAAGCACAAGAAGTCAGTGGTAATTAAATTCTAGAATCTATCCATTTCTACATCTGCCCTGCCTTTTAATCGATTTCTCTGATATTAAATAATTTCTTAAATTGATTTTCAGACAAATTCAGAAGATACACACATGGGTATTATCTACCTCCATTAGCATGACTAGCAGAAAATGTCTCCAGTATTGTAAAAATGTTTCGTATTATTTGAAATGAAAAGTGCATGTGGTTACCATACACATAATAACTGTCACAATTTAACAACATTCTACATAAAACATTCTAAATACGCACAGATGACCTTTATGTACCTTTGACGTCCATAAGTCTATAATACACGACATTGGTCTATAATACACTTCATCAACAGCACCCCATTCTATCCCCCCTCTCCAAGGCCATATTAGAACTTCACAACCATATGCACCATCTCAAATTTACCTAATATCTACTTGATTGTCTCACTCTTGTTATGTACAATCATGCAGATACTTTGAAAATATGAAACTATTCATAGGACATGTAAAATTCTCAAATGGCCTCGTGATGCACCTCTGCACAAATAAAGCCTTTGTGCATTCGACAAATCTATGTGTGGTCATTCCAAAGTTTAATAATTGACAACTACAACAACAAGAATACCTGTAAACAGGAAGAAATTGTCAATTATTAGGTGCTTTGTTTCTTAAAAACCACCACGATTTGCTAAGAAAACCTTAGTTTGCCTCCTCCAACCTTGATGGCTGAACGCGTTGGGAGACAGCTAATCAGTCCAAATTTAAACAGCAACACAAGTAATATTTTTGTAATGGTTCATGCTATGGATGTTTTAAAATTTTCTCTAAATTATTAAAAATAAAAACGATCAAAAGTTTTCTTGCAACTTTTTAATCAGGCATCTGCATTACTGATGAAAAATGAAACGGAAAATCTAATCATATTTTACATTTTTGACGCTCATTAGTGTCGCCCAACTAAATAAAACAAAGTTTGGAAAGAATCCGTTTCAAACACAAAAATCCCGGAAAAATCTTAAAAAACGTGATTTTTTTTTTGACGACCGTATTAATTTTAATTTGAGCACACCATCTTTTTCTTTTTAAAGATAAGTATATTATTTATAATATACTGGTCTACAAAACAGCATAAGAACAACATCAAAAACCCAAAACAAACACCTTTAATTATTTCAAAAGTACATATACGCCGCACTCATTTTCATAAAACGTCCCAACGTTGCTCAGAGATAGGGATTCCCTACCCTCCAAGACCCTTCCCCGCACATACCCTTTTCAGAAACCTGGCAACGGTGCCCTGTCTAATAATAAAATGAAAATATAGCGCGCCACATTCAGGCACGTGGGTCATTTTCAAAAAATGTCCACTTTCTTGTCTTTTGATCAGAAAATAGGAAAAATATTCATTAGAGGAAAACTGTTTTTCCCGTCGGTTAATGTAAATGATTATACAGCTTACAAGTTATGTTTTGATCGTCTCCCAGGCGTTTAATTAAAACTATTGTATTCTTTCTCATTAAAAATTAACGCAGAAAAGTCATCTCACATCATCAGAAATTTTATATGGACACAGACTACCAATTATTTTGCTATACATTCCCTTATAATGTAAAAATTAATTTAAAAAATCACACCGGCTCAACTTACCTGAAACTTGGCATAGAGTAACAACATTTCAAGTCCAAAAATTTTTCAGGCTCTCGGGAAAATTCATAGTCTGCAAGTCCTGCTATGGCATCGCAAATAACCCCTACCCTGATTATTTCACTTTTCCTTCGAGGAAAGGGTAAACATGGGCCTCTTTACACCCTTCCTACTACGCGCTTAAAAGCAAAATTTCCCATTATTATCAATTTTATAATTTTTTTCAGACCCTCTCCTTTCCATCTATGCCCAAAAATAACCCCATTCCACCCCATATACATCCCAAAGAATTCTTAAGAAAAAACCTCTATTTTTAAACTGGCACTACTCGCGTGGTCAATGAAATAGGGGTAAAATTAGTAGTCTGTAACCATATAACGTGCTCAATTATGTGATGGAAAAAACGTTATCCCGTCTAGATATGTACAAATTTTGCACATCATATTAATATGAATTCATTAACAGATTAATGTAATATAGGTGTTTTACTTATGTTTCCCACTAAATACTAGTATTGTGCATTAAACATTTAGGACGTGCCATGTCCTACCAATTCATGTCATCCCTGTTACCAAAACGAAAATGTTATAAAAAAGTTATCTCCCTTTCACAGGAGCTCTTCTCATAATCCTCAATATTTCATCATTTTCTGTTGTCTCAAGTTAATGAGCGCCATTTGAAAGTGAAAAAAGAAAGGCACAGAGGTCGATGAGTTTGTTTCACTGGAAGTATAGAAAGAAAATATGTCCTATCTGTTACATTCAAATAAGGAAGAACTTTTAATTTGTTTAATCTGCTTAAAAATTAGATGAACTAAGCTACAAAGAAATTATTTCAATATCTCGATGATGCAAAAAGAGTACATTATACTTAATAACGAGGGATTTATATTAGATTAGTCCATCCTGTTACTGTCACTTCATTTACCTTTAAAATTGTAACAGGAAGGACAACTGGACTTCGTACCTTGAGTTTAAACAATAAAAACAATTTATTTTATCTTTCTAAGTAATATAAGTTTAGTTTAATATGTTAACTGGTGATAATCGTAGATTCATTAATTGTGAAAATTTATCAGTAAATAAGCTATGGTTATGTAAACTACAATTCAGGAACATACGGTAATTAGACTATTGGGGAAACAGCTAGATTAATATGATGCTATAAAATATCATTAGATTGTAATGAAAGCCAGGAAGAGTAAGAGTGCTATATATGGTAATTATATAAATGGGATAATTTTAGCAATGAGGAGAGAATTTTTACAGTAATTATACACACTTAAACAGGACTTTTATGCCTCTATTTTCTTTTGCATTTTTTGTCATATAATTACTTCATTTTAAATTTCTACTTTGGATGTAAGAAATAGTGAACTTTAAAAAAGTGTCATATATAATTTGCAAAGAACTAGCTTGTGTCCCCTCAATAAAAAACGTCGGATGGTCTCTTTTTTGTTTGTCAAGGAATTTTTGATAGTTGATAGTGCCCCTCCCCCGAACTGAAAATGCATGGCTGTGCCCCCCCCCCCCCCAACCCACAGAAGTTGATTCCTATGGGCCTGCATGTACAGGAATAATTATAATATGAACAGAAACCTACTTTATCAATTTTTATGTTATGTTTATATCATTTTTGCGAACTTGATGCGCTATAATAAAACAGCACATTTTATGAAACTTACAAACTATCGAATATTCTATCCATATTTTGTCCTATCATATTATGCCTTTGTCTATGATTTCGAAACGTATCAGACAATCTAGATATTGATGTGTTTTTGTAGTACTGAATGAACATAATACATAATTATGTTTGTGCTTCATTTGTCAAAGATTTTTTTTCTGCAGTTAATGTGTTATTGACACTGCTGAAATGTTAACAAGAAATCTGCGCATAAGTATGTATTCTAAGAACATAATCAAAAAGATAGGTTGCATGGTTAGAGAGGGCAACCGTAATTTCCTTTTGTGTCCATGTTGTTGCTCTGTTTGTAAAGAATTAGAAATATACTTTCCATTAAATTGATTTTCAGAATGAAATGGGAGTAGATTACGTGTTGCTCACTGAAAAAATCTACTGTGGATATTTTTACCATCACTTTCGTCAGAATTAAGTGATACTGCCCTGTCTGTTATTATTAAAAATTAACACAAGAGAAATGTTTTGAGCTACTGATGGATAATTCATAAAATGAGACTTTTTTCCTTTTCTGTAATATCAAGGAAGTTTTTACACCGTAGTAATTTTGTTGCTAGCAAGCTTGCAGTGTGTGTGTATGTGTGTCCCGATTTTTGAGATTTAGTATATAGCAATTTTCATTCAAGGGTCGCTTGCCCCAGCCTCCCAATCCCTCCAATTTGGTCGAACTCTCCCATTTTTAAGTATGCATCATCCAAGCAGGCGTTTGCATTTACCTCCAGGTTTTTTTTTGTTTTATATAGTTCATATATTTTCAACTCGTATTAAATTATCTAAATGTTTGCAAATCTGACGTTGGATCGAATGCAGATTGATATTTTTCATACAATATTCACACTGAACTGACTGCGGATTTTCAGTGTCCGTTTGCCCGATTATGACAAGAAGCACTCGGCGAGTGTGACCGGATTATGCAACACCGGTCAGCAGAAGATGCTCACTCCTCCATAGCACCCGGTTCCACACCTGTTCTCAGAGTTTGTTTGCTCTGATAATAATTTGTTTTGTTTAAATGGACTTTTGATAATGACCACTGTTCTTTATATCTTCAATTTTTGATTTTAACTACCGAACATGTATCTCTATATTTATGTACAGTC